AAAAAAAAAAAAAAAGCATCAAAAAGAAGCTATCAAACATATCTAAACAGGTAAATACATAAATAATTTTTGTAGTTTTTAGACTATCATTCAATTAGGGGCAAGACTGAAGATAGGAATATCAGGAAGCTAGGTTAAAGATACCAGTAGAAACAGTAAAAAATGAATATGAGAGACAATTAATTAGAAGAATTAATATGACAATAATGTATTGAATGAAGGTAAAGGGTAACTTGGGATTTTATATGGAAAAACTGAATGAAGGGAGCATTAGAACAACATAATTTGGGGAAGGGAAGAATGCTGGCAGGCTATTAAAAATCAGGACACTTTAGGGGCTGTGGCTATGGCTCAGCGGCAAAAAGCTCGCCTAGCACGTGCAAGGCGATGGGTTCTATCCTCAGCACACATAAAAATAAGTAAACAGAATAAAGGTATTGTGTCCAACTATAACTAAACAATAAATATTAACAAATAAATAAATAAAGGTATTGTGTCCAACTATAACTAAACTATAACTAAAAAAAAGTATTAAAGAAAATCAGGATACTTTAAATAGTGCACTGTGGCACACGCCTGTAATCCCAGTAACTCAGGAAGTTGAGGCAGGAGAGTGACAAGTTTGAGGCCAGGTCTGGAGACCCTCACCCCAAAATAAAAAGGGCTGGTAATATAGCTCAGTGGTAGAGCACCTTGGGTTCAATCCCCAGTACTCACCCCCCAAATCAGGGAACTTCTATAATTTAAAGGCATTAAAATGGATTAATTTCTCATATATTTATCCAGTAATGCCTCCATTCCTGGTATTATGCCATATGGAAATTAAGCAAAATGAGAAAAAATGTACAAAAATATTTAGGTATGCCATTTACAATAGTAAAATATAGGAAATAAAATAAAAGCTCAATGTTGGGGACGGAGCTAAATAAAATGGCACATTGACCATTTGTATTTTTAGAATAAAGTACTCCATATAGTACTTGATGATATAGAGAAATACACATATGAAATAATTTTTAAAGTAACCCTAAATGATATATACACAATGAAGAAAAACACACATTATGGACAACAACAAAGATTTGAACAGGAAATTGTATGAATGTACACTGTTAAGTGTACTATTTAAGAAATTTTTTTTTATTTTTTAAAATCTAAAAAATGGTATGTCTTGTATCTGCTTGTAAATCAAGTCAACTAACCCTCTTCAACATTTTTAGGATACAAAGAACATCCTTTTACTTCCTACCTGATGAACGATGGAAGTCAGGGATGCATTTATCACCACCACACCATCCTTCAAGGCTTTTACTACATGGTAAGATCCATTCACAGTGGTTAGTTGTTCTTTAAAGTACTCCTCTAGAAAACCATATGTAATCCTGAGATTCTGAAATCAGCACAACAGCAACACAAACCTGAAGATATGTTCTTTCCCCAAAGCCATTTTAATTCCAAAATATATACAAAACTGTTGCTATGCATTCAAGGGATAAAAAGAAGAAGAACAAAACCTTTGCTTTCCCCATGGAAATTCTAAGTCGGGAAGATGTAATTTTAAAATGGTATTAGTTTTTGAAGTATTTCATTAGTAGCAAGTATCATGAACAGGAGGAATCAAAACTATGTAAATTTTACCACTAGTTGGTAGTTCTCAGGGGAGGAAAATAAAGACCCTGGAGCTTAAGTACAACACCTGATGCCTCTCACTACTACAAAACTAAGGTAACCATCTCTAAAGGGAGAAATAGAGCAAGGATCTCCTCCAGAGTGCTCCCGCTGGTGCTCTCTTCAACTCTTTCCCATGATTCTGACTGAATTATATTTTTTACTTCTGGTTTAGCATTCCTCAAGGACAGCACTAGTTGGTTCTTATGTTATTATGATATTATCATGTTATTCTAATGATAACAACAACCTAGTAACTTGCATTCCCAAAGGTAAAGTCTGGAAACAAAGGAAAAAGGAGGAACTTTTAATCACAAAGATGGCCCCTTCAAAGAATTATTCACAAAAGGAGCTAGAAAGATCTAAAAGAAACTCACATCTGAAATATAGACCTTTGTGCTGCTTCTATCAAACACTTCTATTGTAATAACATACACCTGTCCCACCTCTAGACTCCATCGGTCTCCAGGGTAGATGGTGAATCCTATATACAAATCAAGAAACAAAAGTATTAGAAGAAGCCAACATGTTTCTAAAATGAAATAACAAATTTTAAAAGAGAAAAACTTGCTAATAGAGAGGTTTCCAAAGCAAATCTTTCAGTTTCTTCTCTCAAACTTTATAACAACATAAGGTTCCAAGGGCTGAGGTTTGGCTCAGAGATGGAGCACTTGCTCTACCCAGTGAGGCACTGGGTTCCATCCCCAGCAGCACATAAAAAAAGAAAATAGGGTTCAAACAATCATGGTTTAACTTAGCTTATATCAAGTATAAAGAAGCACTGTCACTTATATATGTAGACAGCTCAAACCACAATGAAGGCTCATTCAAAATGTGCCAGACAGTTCTAGCTTCTTTCAGTCAGACTCTGTTTCAAGAGCCCAAGGACATTAAGATTTCCTTCCTTCCTTCTTTCCTCCCTCCCTTCCTTCCTCCCTTTCCTTTTCCTTCCTTTCTTTCTTTCTTTCTTTTCTCTCCGTCTCTCTCTTTCTTTCTGCCCCCACCCTGTCTGTTTCTTTCTTTCTTTCTTTTTGGTGCCATGGATTGAACCCAAGGGCACTCAACTACTGAGCCCCAGCCCCAGCCCTTTTAATTTTTTGAGACAGGGTTTCACTAGGTTGCTTACAGCCTTGCCAAATTGCTGAGGCTAGCTTCAAATCTGCAATCCTCCTGCCTCAGCCTCCCAAACTGCTGGGATTACAGGCATGTGCCACCATGCCCAGCCTTTTCCCTTGCATAAGTCTCTTTTCCCCTAACCCAAAGATTGTATTATGAAGATTTCAGATCGTTTCTGTTTTAAGATGTTTCCCTCTTGCAAACAGAATTTAACCAGAACAATTAATCAAAACATGTCCAAGTAAAGTTGAATTTGAAGTTAGTAAGGTCCCAAAACAAAGACTGAGACCTCTAAGGTCTCTAATTTTTAATGCACTCATTTTAGTAAAATCATTTAAATTATTAAACTTTCTGAAAATCATTATCTAAAAATACCTAAAAATCCAGGCTCTACAACATATATAGTGCAATTTGGGAGTCCAGACACAGATCGCATATGGACATCTTAATTTTTGCTTAAGGAAATCATGTGGACCAGAGTTGGATAAAAATAAAAAGGTAAGCTACCAAAGCAAAGAATAATAAACACACAACAAAAATTTTGTCTTCTATTTTCTTCAGAAATCCAAAATTTAAATGTGTACACTTCTGAGAAAAATCTGTGGGATACTTAGTCATCGCAGGAGTTAGGTATTCTTGATCTTCAACCTTGAGGTGGGTGGAATTGGAGAAAGATTATGCTCTGTGTTTTTTAAAATTCATTTAGCTGAAGAACTCTTTCTCCAAATAAATTCTTACATAGGAGTCCAATATGAAATTCAAGACAGGTGGCACCATACGGGAGGAAGAGACCTTTTGGCTTAAGAGAAAACAGCGGTGATATAGGTGGGGAGAGATACACAACTTGTCACCCAGCAACATGCATAGAGCTCTGCAGGTAGTTTCAAAATCATTGGCTGCAAATCTTTTTAAAAAATAAATATTTTAAAAAAATAAATGTTTAAAAAAAAACACATTACATCTAAAAGCTAATAAGAAATTATTCTGCTCTGAGAAATAGGTACCTAAGATGACTAAACACTCGCTAATTCAAAGTATACTAATTTAGAAGTTGTATTAATTCAGTCATGGACTAGGTTACAATTTATTTCTATATTTTACAGAGATAATGAAAGTAAAATAATATTTAGTATGAGATCAAATTTTTACAGCTGCTTCATATACTCCAAATGAGCTATGAAGACTATCTAACCTATACATGGATAAACAGATAAAATTAACATGTTAAAGAATATTTTAAGCTATTAATTAAAGCAACTTTTCTAAAGATCGTATAGGCACCAGACAAGGTGGCAAGCCTTTCATCCCAGAATCTTGGGAGGCTACAGTAGGAGGATCGTGAATTCATAGTCAGCTTTAGCAACTTAGTAAGGCTCTAAACAAGACTCTGTCTCAAAATAAAAATTAAAATTAAAAATTAAAAAGGGCTGGAATGTGGCTCAGTGGTTGAGTGTCTCTGGGCTCAATCTCTGGTATCAAAAAATAATAATAAGAAGAAGAATAATTTAAAAAAATAAAGATTAGGGCTGGGGCTCAGTGGTATGGCGCTTGCCTAGCACATGTGAGACACTGGGTTTGATCCTCAGCACCACGTTAAAAAAAGTAAATAAAGGTATTGCGTCCATCCACAACTTATATATATTTTACATATATATATTCTACATATATATATGCAAAAAAACCTGTACATTCAGAAAAATGAGAAATTATACCCCATCTGATTCAAATGTATAATATGTCAAGATCATTGTACTGTCATGTGTAACTAATTAAAACAAATTTAAAAAAGAAAAATTAAATAAAGAAAGAAAGAAAATAAAGATTGGATAGGTAACTAGGTGCCAAACTAGACTTGGTTCTGATATGTGAATACAATGCTTGTAAAATAAGGAAATTCAGAAATACAATATTCCCTTCATTTTGCAGATGAAACATCTCCACAATTCTCTAAACCAATTTATTCCTCCATCAAATAAAATATTCTACCTGCAAGTTAATCCTACCTGTGTTCTAAATTTAATTTTCTCTTGCCTGTCAGAAAACTTGCTCCATCAACTGGCTCTCATTTCTCAATATCTTTGCCATGGTCACATTTCTCCTATTTTAAAAAAGGGTCTTTTCCAATCTTCTACCTCATTTTTCTTTTTGTTTTCAATGACATTGTGTTTTAATTGACAACTTGCCCCGGGACCTTGTACTTAATATAACCTTACTTAATATCTCCATCGGATTTCACACAGTCTCCTCTTTTTAAGGTCTTCACTTGGTGAAACTCCTCTCTCCTGGTTTTCCTACATTTTATTTTATTGATTAACTGCAGTACTGAGTGCTTTAACCTAGAAGTGCTTTATACCTGAGCCACATCTCCAGCCTTTTTTATTTTGTGATTTTGAGACAGGGTCTTGCCAAGTTGCTTAGGGCTCCACTAAGTTGCCGAGACTGGCCTCGAATTTGTGATCATCCTACCTCAGTCTCCCATCCTGTCACATGCCTGTGATGTGACATGCCAGGCGTGTGACACTGCACCCTGCTCTTTCTTCTTTCCTTTTCTTTCTTTCTTTCTCTCTCTCTCTTTTTTAACAGGTGCTAGACAAATTATGAATAGTCACCATCCATGTGCTCAAGAAAGACATAAATAGTCAAGTATAATGTATTTTAATATTTGCTACTTTGTAATAAGTAACTATGCAGACTAGAATACGGAAAAAAATTAGGTTTGCCTAGGGATTTTCATGGATGTGCCTGACACATAGGTAGGGCTCAACATATACTGAATGACTTAGTTTATTTTGTGTTTGTTGACAAATATCCTAGGCACCTTAAAAAACACTAAAGAACAAACAATTTGGGGTCAATAACTCTCTTCAATATGGATCAGACAAATAATAAAAACATCTAGCACATTCTACAAGTGCTATATTTATCCAGTTTGGTAGACTCTTACTGAGAATAAGTCTACTCGGCCCTACATAATCTATCCCTCCCCTACTCTATCACCTCTTCTGCTACTTTCCCCTGATTCACTTCAGTGTAGCCTTATTTTATTCCTCATGTTTCTGTAAGCATACTAAACATGGTTCTGCTTCAGAACCTTTGCAACTGCTATTTCCCCTTCCTGGAGATCTTTCACCCAGTTATCTGCAAGGCTCATTACTCCAATGTCACCTTATCAGAGAGGACTTCCCTAACTATCCTGGGTAAAATAGCAGTCTGTATCCTCAGTGTTTTGAACATTGTTGAGCATACAGTAGAAATATAACTGATATTTACTGTGTGAAGTAATTCTTTTTAGATTGAAATATTTAAAAATAGGAAATACTTCCAAATTAAACACTGAAAAAAATGAAGTCCAAATCATATTTATGTATTTTTTTAAAATTTAAATCTTCATTCTGTTTTGTTTTCCTTAACTACATTAGAGCTCCTTGCTTCTCTCTTTGTTCAATCCTTACAGAGTAGTTTTAGTGAATTTTAAAATTACTCTCAATTCAAATTGTTTAAAATCTTAATTAAATATCTTCTATGGATAGTACCATCTTTTCACAATTATCATGTGAAAATAGGAAAGGAAAAAATTAAACAAAACTCATGTATGTTCCTCCAAACTCCATTATCCCCAATCTCCCAATTTTAATTGATGGAGGATACAAATAAGCATTGAAATCAACAGATCCCAAATTCCAACTACTCTCCTTTTCTTATCTCTCATTTTTAGAAATTAAGACAAAAACAGTTCTTTGTTAAAAAAATAATTGAAACACATAGAAAAACAGTGAGTTTGCTTAGTATGAACAAAACCCTCAGTTCAATCCCTAGCACCACAAAAGAAAGACAAAAAGAAAGAAAGATAAGCAGTATATTATAATCAATCTTAATAAACTCTTTACCAAGGAATATGTCTAGTATGCTCAGGAAAGTGTAGATTGGCAGATAAACTTGAACAAAAGAAAAGGATACTTTTGTGAACAAAGACAAGATTAGTTTGGCCTAGTTGGAGGGCAGTCACTGTGGCTGTTCTCTCATCCAGTAAAGCCACTTTCCCAGAAAGAGACCCATTACGTGTAAATCTATGGTCTTGCAATTGCAGTATATAATGTTCCAGGGGAAATTTCACCTCTGTAAGACAAAAAAGACATATAAATGTAATGACAGAGCTACTGTAGAGAATAATGGTGTACCACTGGGTTGTAAGAGGAAAATCAGGAAACAGGCCTTTTTTTAAAATATTTTTTTAGTTGTTGATGAACCTTTATTTTATTCATTTACTTATATGTTGTGCTGAGAATCAAACCCAGTGCCTTACATGTGTGAGGCAAGTGCTCTACCACTGAGCCACAACTCCAGCCCAGAAAACAGGACTTTTTAAGGGTGTTCTTCTGATTTTTCCCCACAATGATGAATTTCTACAGGTTGCCATTTGATTGGGAGTACTACCAATTCCAATTGATTATTGGTATGTTTGTATTCTTCTTCTTTTTTTTTTTTTTTGGTACTGGGGATTAAGCCCAGGGACACTCCACCACTGAGCTGTATACCCAGCCCTTTATATTTTGAGGATCTCACCAAGTTGCCTAGGCTGCCCTCAAACTTTTGATCCTCCAGCCCAGGCAACTTAGTGCCATCTCACCCAAGGGTATTGTTTGTATTCTTAAAAACTAATGAACTAGGGGCTGGGGTTGTAGCTCTGCAGTAGTGCACTTGCCTGGCATGTGTGAGGCACTGAGTTCGATTCTCAGCATCACATATAAGTAATAAAATAAAGGTCTATCAATAACTAAAAAAATGTTTTTAAAACTGGTCTGGGGTTGTGGCTCATTGGTAGAGCACTTGCATGCATGAGGCACTGGGTTCAATACCCAGCACCACATTAAAAAAAAAAACTAAACAAAATAAAGATATTGTATCCATCTACAACTAAAATTATTTTTTAAAAACTAATGAACTGCCAGGAATAGCCTGGCTTGTACATATTAAAGATACGGGGCCTATCTCTATTTAGTAGTAGTTCAAGTACAGCAATTACAAAGTACTTTATCACACAATCTAAGAAATACAAGGAAATATTTTTCATATATTATGTGGGGTAGTTGTTTTGTCATCTGCAGAAAGGATCTGAGAAATGTGAGTCACAGGAAAAGATAAATAAACTTACCTGTCATTCTTCCCTGAACCATTTTTGCAACTTGGTATTTAATATATGCTCCTACTAAGAGATAAATATCATGGGATGGTATAAGAAATATATTTTCCAAAACAAGCAGACGTATCAGTGCTGCTGCCACTTTCTAAAAGAGGAAGGAAAAGAACAGTTTCCATAGGTAAAATCCTCAAGGCCATCTTCCTTGTTAAAAGCTCACTTCCTGGGGCTGGGATTGTGACTCAGTGGTAGAGCACTTGCCTGGCACTTGGGAGGCACTGGGTTTGATCCTTAGCACCATATAAAAATAAATAAGATGAAGGTATTGTGTCTATCTACAACCCCCCCAATTTTTTTTAAAAGTTCACTTCTTATATGTTTCTTTAAAGTTTTTAAATAAATATTTTTAAATGCTTTCAAAATCACAAGTATAATTTCATTAGCCTGAAAAGTGACCATGAATCTTACTATTGTAATGATGTTTTAAGTCACTCAGACTATTAAAAAATGAAAACACTTCTAAAAAAGAAATAGGCAAATAGGCAAGTTATGCCAAAGTAAAGAAAAGTAACACCTGTTGATATGCCGCAGAAGTTCTTATAGCCAACCTCCAGTTGCACATCACATCACTTTCTACTCCCTGTTGATCGACTGATTCTTGGGAAGACTTAACCCAACATCAGGTGGTTGGGCTGCTCTCTAGGATCTCTACCACTTGTATTTCTGCCTTATGAAATAAATGCTTACCAAAAGGCATTTGTTTTTCTCAAACTTATTTCTGCAGACACAACTATAAATTTATATACATTAAAATAAAAAGCATGGATGTGAAAAGAGAGCTGTTGTTTTTACAAAAAAAAATGAAATGTTTTGAAAAGAAGTTAAAGGCAAGCGGTTAATAAGTGCTATCAAATTAGATGTGGGTTAGAAAAGTGAAGAATTGGGGCAGAAATCCTTGAAAGTTATAAAAGTCTATACTCTGAGTGCATCACATGTCTAAATTTTCACTTGATCATAGAAGAAAATGAAACTAGAAACTGAGGTTTATGTAAGAAAAAGTATGTAGATTTCTAAACAGTGAATTTATGGCTGAAGAAAGGCTTTGGACCTATATCAAAGGATTGGTAAATAAAATGCTATCATATCTATAATTATAAATAGCTAATATATATTATTGAGAATGTTTTAAGAGAAAATGCCAGGCATATTTGAAATTATAATTGTAATACTCTAAAATGTTTGAGAAACACAAATTTTTTTTTAAGTTTATTCTCTTCAAATGACTTTTCCAAATAAATGATAAACTACTGGCCCAAATCATACTCAGGTTACGTTTCTTATCAGGTTATCATAGATAAGCATAAGCAACTATATCTCCATAGGCAAGATTATCAGAAAAAAGTATATGGCACAAACTTTTTACCTTATAGAATTGTTCATAAATTCTAACTTTTACAATAGCAGCACCAGTCCTAATTCCAGACACCAAAATCACATCTCCTTGTTTCTCTTCATTTTCCATCTCAGCTATATAGTGTGGAGGAGAATATTCTGCTTCAGAGAATTTCAGAATCCTAAAGACATAACATAAAGTTTGCTTTCAGCAGAATCAAACAATACCGTCTTCCAAAAGTCTTAAGAGATTTTAAACACAGTCTCTTTAATGTATATACAGTATAGAAAGTTTTAAAATTTCTGACTATAATAAATATTTGTGACTATGGCTAAAATTGTTGTATAAATAAAAATTGGGTTATCAGGGATCTATTCTTTGGTACTGAATATAAAATTTCATACCATTATCTTACTCTATTTCAGCACATGAAGACAGCTTGAACAACAAAACTGCCAGGAGATACACCTGACTCAAATCATTATATAGTCCTGAGCTCACAGAGGGAATCCTCTACAGTGGCTCAAATTAAGCCATAATAAAGGTACCTACGTATACTATACATCCTTTTGTCAAAGACATTTTCCCTAGTCAATTTATTTGTTTCAAAAAAAGTCCAGACAGTGGATTATCAAGATTCACACAAATAGTTACTGTTCAGTGTGCCACCCAATGGCAGATGTCTCCTTCAAAGTGAGATGATTTATGTTGGTTTCAAGTTTACCTAATTTTGCTAGACGGTTCCTCTCTTGCTGGGTCGTTATCCTGGGCAATGCTCCACTCAAACATCATCCCTGCCAAACTACTAAAAGTATTTCCTGTAGAGCAAGCCAAATGCAGACAAGATAGAATCACATATTCAAAAATGTTCAGGCATCTTGAACAAGAAAAGAAAACCTAACTAAAATGCTATTTTTATGCCTTCTAAATAACAAATAAAAGGATTAATGAATTGAAACACACATATCTGAGGAAGATTCCTACACAAACAATGTAAGTGCTGCTACTGTACAAGCTTTCTTATGCAGCAAGAAAATAAACAGGACTCAGTTGATTAAGTTCCAGTTGACATTATGCTGCACTCTTTTTACAGAAAGATTACCCTATATCTACCTACCTGATGGTTTACCAGCATCCTTAATTCTGATTTCAAATTTTTATAAGAACTAGATTGCAGAATATTTCATTTTTCAGATTTAAAAAAAATTACTCTTGCCAAGTGCAGTGGTGTACATCTGTAATCCCAGAGGCTGGGAGGCTGAGGCAGGAGGATTGCAAATTCAAAGCCTGCTTCAGCAATTTAGCAAGACCCTAAGCAACTCAGCAAGATCCTGTCTCAAAATTTATAAAAGTAAAAGAGGGCTGGAGATGTATCTCAGTGGTTAAGTGCCCCTGAGTTCAATTCTTAGTAATAAATAAAAATAAATAAAAATTTTAAAATACTCTTTACTAAATAGTTTAAAAAGAAAGTGGTAATAAAATTAGTTTTTTTTCAATGCTGGGGAGGAAACCCAGGGACTTATGCATAATAAGCACGCCTTGGGCATACTAAGCAAGCACTCTATCACTGAACTATATCTTTAGCCCTAAATGTTTTTAATACCATATTACAGTATTAGTATAGTATATCTAAAGCAATATAAAATCAGTTTCAAGAAAGACTAACTTAAATATCAAACTTTTCCACAAATTTACATTTAATCCTCCTGGCCTATAAGAAGTAGACTGATCAAAAAGTAGAGCTAACAGGGCTGGGGATGTTGTTCAGTGGTAGAGCTGGTGTGAAGGTCCTGGTTTACGATCCCTAGCATTAAAAGATAAAAGAAAACACAATAGAAAAATTCAAAGTGTTCTTTTTTGGTACTGGGTATTGAACCCAGGGGCATTCAACCACTGAGTAACATCCCCAGTCTATTTTATTTTTTTAAGACCGTGTTTCCTTAAGTAGCCCAGGCTGGCCTTGAACTTGCAATCCTCCTGCCTCAGCTCCCAGTCACTAGGATTATAGGCATGTGCTACCACACCCACATCTATAGAGACCATCAACAGAAGCTCAGCAGCAGAATTTAGATATTTAAGAAAAGTTCAGAGATAATTAATAGGATGGTTTATGTGAGAATGTAGCTAATACATGAACATACTCAGAATCATTAATTCCTTATCTACATGAGCTCCAAATGGGAAAATAAGTCTTATTTCCAACCTACTTTTATCACTCAAGCTCCTGTCTCCATGAGCTAAACTTAAAATAATATTACTTTATTTTAGGTAATTTGGTTGAATCCTCTGAAGTTCTTTACCTTCAGCATCCAATGCCCTCACCATCAGTTCCAGAGGTGAATCATCTACATAGAGTTCCCGGGTCCGAGATACAATTTCAATGCTGTCTATCACATCAACCTTAACATCACAGCGTAGTTCATGATCAGTCACTTCAGTGTATCAAAAGAAATGAGTATTTAATTCAGTAAGTCATTAATGTTTTAAATGTTTCCAATACTCAAAGCATTCTAAAGTTTATAAGAAAAGAAGACTGTGATGGACACTTTTACACACAGAAGAAAATGGCATAATGACAGGATCTAAGAATTTCTGTTGATAATTAAAGACATAAACCACTGATTTATAATGATGTTTTCATTCATGAAAAAATTAGAAAAATAGAGTTTTAAAATAGTGAGTAATAGCAGGGAGTGGTGGCACATGCCTGTAATCCCAGCTACTTGGGAGGCTGAGATAGGAGGATTGCAAATTCAAAGCCAGCCTCAGCAATTTAGTGAGGCCCTAAGCAACTTAGCAAGACCCTGCCTCTAAATAAAATATAAAGAAGGGCTTGGGGGCTGGGGATGTGGCTCAAG